TAGTAAACTCTCTCAGCTTCTTACTCCATCTAACTGTAATTGGCGATCATTGCTGCATCTTATGTATGAATTTTAAAGCTCCTGGAGACAATTTCTACCATAATTTCTCAATAATATATTTATGTTTTACCGGTGAAAGAAAGGGTTAATAGAGAGTGGAGTTACCAGAAACTCCAAACATTTAAGAAAATTTAAATAAGATAGGCGTAAACATAAAGAACTACCGTACTTTTCAGAATATAAAACACATTTTTGTTTTCTTTTAACCCCTTAAGGACCAAACTTCTGGAATAAAAGGGTATCATGACACGTCACACATGTCATGTGTCCTTAAGGGGTTAAACCCCAAATTTGGTGTAAAAAAAACTGCCTGCGTCTTATATTCCGAGCGTCACCTAGTGCAATATCCGGGTGATTGGCAGCAGGAGGCTGTACAGAGCTAAGAGGATAAGAGACAGTCAAGGGAGGTAAGACATTCAACTGGTTGTTTTATTTTTTTCTTCTGAATTTCCAAATAAAATATATGGGTCTGTCTTGTTTTCAGGTGCGTCTTATATTCTTAAAAATACAGTATTTAAGTTTACTATTCACATATAATGTAGACAAGCTTAATGAGCTTTTTCATTCTAAGCTGCCATCAAAGTCTGTTTCTATAACTATAATAATAATAATAATAATAATAGTAGTACTTCATCTAAGCTTAGCAAATTAAAACAAAATGTGTATACTGTTTCATTATATACTACCCAACAAGACAGTAAACAGAGTCTCTTATGTACATAGCATACATAATTTATGTACATAAAGTTTCCATGACTGTACATTTCAAAACTGTCTCGAAAGATGTGCCAGTAGACTTAGAAAGCATTAGATAGTGGTCCCAGTTTTCTAATCTCCCCTCGTTCCCCCTCCAATGTCAACAGTGTGTGCCTCTCCTTCAATGAAGAAATAAAGGTAATTGTTTCCTAAATATTGTGTGTTAAGGCTACCTACCCTTTTTTTTGGTGTTCGGCCGACTCAGGTCTGATCAGCACAACTGGCGTTCAATATTGGCCAGTGCCAACATGAATTTGCCATATCCACTGCAAAGTTAACCTGTAACCATCAAAGTTGTGTCAGGCATAGAATGCAGTCACAGAATGCAGTCAACAAAAGACCAGTGGTGGGCTATATTATAAATTGTTGCAGAAGCTGCATGTTAACCATGATCACCATGGATAAAAAGTTCTACTAAGTGCCCAAGGACACTGCGCCATTAATTGCTAACAAGTTGACAAACAAGTTGAGAACTTATGTCAATATATCTGACTTGGAAAAAAAAATAGACTCCCATTTATGTTGTCTACTCTAAATTTCAAAATTTACTATTAAAATGATAGTCCCCAGGAGTGTTTTTTTAATGTGGAAATAGGCAAAAAAAAAATGTAATTCCCAGCCAGCCAAATAAATAAACCACAAGATAATTCAAACATGTAAAAAAAAATTAAATTGTTCGTTTTAATTCGATTTTTTTTGTCCGTTAAGTTTCAGATTTTTTATTTTGTAGGAAAAAAAATAAGTTCAAATGTTAACAAAAATCTGTGAAATTGCTTGAATGAAGCAAATGATATGTTCAAAGCAAAAAGTGACCCGTCCGTATTTTTTTCCCTGAAGAATTAATGAAATGATATGCAGGATTCGGACCCATGCTGTGGATCTGTAATTCATTCATCTTGATGAGAACATCAAGCTTCAGTTTCCTTGCAAATCTTTTTTTAGCACCCAAAAATCTTAATATCATATTAAATTTCTAACTTTCAATAACTAGTAATTTAACTTTTTTTCCCCACACCCGCTATGTGGCAAATGAGTTCACAGCGTCTGAAGACGCATTATTTTCCGAGTGATTTCATTTACCAAAGAGTTCCACTGGCAATGTGATCCTACAAGTACAAACTGCAGCAGGGAAAGTACGCCTGCACATATCGCTGGGCACTCTGCGCCGCAAGCATTTATTAATGAAGTAGAACAAACTTTGTTTATTGCATAACCATTATACAGTGACATTAGTGAGTCAGCCAGCAGCGATGGCCAGCAATGCCATCACATGAAGGGAGACAGAAGAATATCTGGATTTGACTGGGATTATTGAATTTGCCTAGTAATATTTATGCACAGCGTATGGCATGTGCCTAGCGCACAGAGTATGCATAGTGCAGGAGTAGGCAACCTTTGGCATTCCATGTGTTATTATAATGTAGTATTGTAATATTGTATTTTTGGAAGTTAACTTTAAAACATAAGACAAATACTCAGAAGTACTTGCCAATAACTTTGTATGTGAATGATGATATGACTGTCTCTGAAATAAAGAATTTAAGGGATCCTATAGTGCCAGGAAAACAATCCCATTTCCTGGCACTTTAGGTTTAATAGGTGCCTCCCCTCCCCCTTCAGCCACTTACCTGAACCCATCGCCGATGTCCCTCAGCGCTGGGTCAAATTTCGCCCACGCTCCTCCCCCGCCATCAGTCTGCGGGGGAGACCTAATGCGCATGCGCGGATATTGAATAATGCTTTTCAATGGGGAAAATCTGACGCTTGAGGTCCTCATGCAGAGCGTGAGGACGTCCAGCGTCAGATAACGGACCAAAAGTCCGTTTGGATTCCGGAAGCCCTCTAGTGGCTCAGTGACAGCCACTGAGGGCAGACTTAGAGCTGCAATGTAAAAATGTAAATTGCACTAAGTGCAATATGGACACAGCACCCAGACTACTTCAATAAGCTGAAGTGGTCTGGGTGCCTAGTGTCACTTTAAAAAAAAAAAATTGTAAATCATTAAACTGAATTAACAATGGTAAAAAATACTGAACACGCTCTGTTAATGCCTATGCTTTTGATAACATAGTTTTTGTTATTTATTGAGAGTTATCTATAGTTTATCTTTATGTCCAGTGTATCAGTAATGCATTGTACGTCTACCGTGTAAGCCCAGAAACTTGCCGGCTAAGCTTATTTTAAACTATATAGCCTTCTGAAACGACAAAGCCTTATCTAGATTAAAATGTCTTTTTAATCTCAGAAAGCAATGGCAAAGTAGTATGAGTTGATTATTTCCAGAAATGGGATGGGGAAGGGGGGTACAGTAAAGTTTCTGTTGTGACACTTTCTATCTCCGATGGCTAAAAAGCTCATACAATGGAAAAGCGATGACTGCCCCTGGATGTGTTAGCAGATCCAAATCAACATCATAATCACAGTAACTTTGACTTACCCCTGGTCCCTGTCAGACAAGAAGATAGAACTTTCATATCATAAAATGGAAGAAATAGATAAATCTATGGTTTTAGCAATAAAATTGACACCCCTGTATACGCCTGATTAGTTCGTTTGTAAGAAAGATCAGATTGACTCTGGTGTACCAAAAAAAAATGTCAATCAAACTTTAAAATTGCATCGTAATAATATGTTCTTGTTTTTAATAGGACTGATATACAATTTAAATCACGAGCTTACATGAAATGTTTCCTCACTTCCAGTGTCTTGCTTAAGATAGAATCAATAGAGAAGGTATCTCTTAAAAGTTTGTCTCTAAAATTTGATATTAGTTCAATTAAATAAGATATATCTGTATATTTTAAAAAATATTTCTTATTCACTGAGTTTCCATAGATATTCCAGACAGCTAATATTTTTTTTATATATAATTTTTTAATCCAGACAAGGTAGAGACTAATCCTTCCCTTTGTGTACAGTAGTAGGTTTTGGGTATGGACTGATTAACTATTGGGCAAAAACCTTGATTTCTGCTTGTAATATTCCAAGAATAATGTTTTCTAAATGCTTTGTAAATTAATGTCCCCATGGCATTCATTTACATTGTTGCAAAGTAATCCCTAATTAACCTTTGAGGTGTTAAAACTGATCCGTGAAATGAGAAGCACTATTGTCTTCGTGGAATAATCTGTTTCTGGACTTGCATGGGTGAGAAATGCCCTAAAGCTGATCTTTGGTGGTTTTCGCAGTCCCATTGTAACCGTGTGTGGTTCCCTTATTTACCACTATAATGTCTTAAAGCATAGAACTTAGTAGGGCTAACCATACAGATATCTTAGCCATAATTTTATATAGTGTAAGAGATCCTCTATTTAACATATATAAATAATTGAGAATACAATATAAAATAAGGATTGTCTTGGAAGCAAGATTGTCTTTTTGGATATTTATTATATAAAAATATAAAATCCATTATAGCAGAGTTTATAAGATTAAATTACATGCTTGCAAATATCATTAATAGGTTAACATACCCTTCTGAACATGTCATCATGTCAGCCTCTCTGTCATTTTAAGATGGAGCAGCATCTGTCTCCAAGTCTCTCCTCTGTATCTTAACATTTAAAAGTACACCTATTTATACCTTAGGTGTCTCCATTTTAGGTTACTGTAGTTCAAATATGAAAAAGTAACACTTCTTTTACTTTATTCAATTTAGGACCTCCTTAATTTGGCAAACATACAAGGCCATAACTAAAGGGTGTATACGTCATGGAAATTTTCCTGACTTAGTTCAAGATGGCATCTTAAAGTCTGAATAGGTTATCTGTTGTTTATACTAAGTTGTAAGTGTACAGTCGTGGGAGATTCCCGGATTTGGGGAAGTTCCATTAACTTGGGGTTACCACAGTATATTGTGTACTGCAAGTGTCGTAGTATAGCCTTGAAGCTTGTTTATGCATTATTGTTATTGTAATTCGTCTGGGACAAAATGGCGCAAACATATTATGCACTGAGGTTATTGCTTAAAGAAACAGTTATGAAAAACAATATGTTCCATTTCTAACACCTTGTCAGTTTGCAATATCTCTTAAAGACAAAGTACACAGTTTAAGAAATACAACATTTCATTCTAAAACTTGTAATATTTGCATTTGCCCGTAACACCCTCTCCATTAAACTGTGGGCATTGTAGACCATTTCTTCCTTAAATTAGTAAATCAAAGTTGTCCAACAGTCTTTAGGTTTTTGTGCTCACAGCATCATTGATCATTGTTGTAACAGTAAAATATCCGTAGTGTGATCTTTGCCTGTAAAGGTGGTTGATTAAAATGAGCAAAGCTTTTGTCTGGGAAAGAATTGAAAAGAACACCAAGTTCCAGAGTAAGATATTCTTGGATGGATCCGGATACGAATTGTAATCCAAAGTTAAAAATAGTAATTGTATTTGTAATCCAAAGTCTTTAAAGGCCTGTAGAAGTTTACATTCCTTAGATACATTGCTGGAGGTTGTGTTTGTAGAATACCCGGGTATTTGTTGTAGAGTATAGGTTGTAATGTCCAGCTTTCCAAGTATTTGGCTAGAATTGGTTGCAGATATTGAATCAGCATCATCTATTATCACTGTGGTGATGGTGTTGGTATTTTTCTTTGTCTTTTTTTATTTTGTTTTTTTCATGAAACATTTTTTACACCATTTATGATGTGTATAGATTGGATACTCTCCGATATTCTTTTACAGAATAAATTAATTGACAGCATTTCCAAGGCATTGTCTTAAGTGACATGGATCCCATTATAGTAAATGTTATGTTGATACAGCAATCGAAGTGAATTCTCAAGAACGCCTCTTTTTGCTGTATTGGAATCTTTGTAACATCTCAGTGATAGACATCACACTGACATCAGGTGCTGTTGTGCTAAAAATGTTAACAGGTAAAATCTGTGGAAAAATCTTTACATTTGTTATACTTTGTATAATAATGATAGATGAAATAGTAACATAGTTAATCTTTCTAGTGTTTTGTATTAAAGATAAACACTCTTGTATATGATTTAGATATATAAGGATAATTTGAAGCAGCAAAGTATTTAACACCTTTGTTCACAATGGTATGTAAAATTACATTCTCTTTAAATGTTAAAAATACTACTTTATTCAAAATGTCTCAATCTATTTAGAATAGTTGCTAATTGGAAATATGATGTTAATTATCTTTCTTTGACCTGTTAGGGAGAAGACAACTTATTCCCTAGTTATTATTAGTAAATATAATAACTACAGTTATTAGTGGCTTAAAATACCAGAAACCCCAAAAATTTACTTTAAAATCATTTTTTACCAAGATCTGACAGCCATTGTGGAAAGTTATGTTCGTGATTGGATGCTTAACAATGTGAATCTTAATTGTTTAAGTATATTTTTCAGTGGCTGTTGGATGTAGCTTAAGATGATTAGAATGTATTATTATTTCTAAAAGTGAGTTAAGAAAGCACTCCGATACAATATTGAATGTATTTATATTTTAACTCTACCTTTGTACAAGTGGTTTTAATACTTTTAACCATCACAAACCAAATAACATTTTCTTGGTATTTGAAAAACCTGATAAAATATTTGATTACGTGTATTTTAATATATATACATAGAGTGGTATGGATGTTGAATTTATATCTTTGACATCTTTTCACCAGTTTGCAATAGGTGACCTAAATCATCAATTTCCAAAATAATCATGTATGTCACCTGGACGGGTTAATCCATAATACTCTTTTACTTTCCATTTATTGGCCTTAGCTCTAGAAGACTGAATATTTGTATCATTATAAATAAACTTTATGATAGTTGAAGTAAAGTTTCTGCCTGTCTTAACTGTTTTTAACTGTTGAAGTATTTCAGTTATATTAATTATACCACTCTGCAAACTTAAACGAATATCGAGTAGTTTCTGTTTTAATAAAAACATTTTATATTTTCTTCTAAAGTTTAAACCTTATTCATTATTGCAATTGTTATTGCAATCATATGATCTTTAACTATCATGATTCAATTATTCATCTTGGTAATTAGCTGTTATGCTCTTATACGTATGTTTAATATATTTGTTTGTAGGCCAGACTGCAGCTGCATATGGCATTTTAGCAATAATCTTCAATTGCATTTCAGATATTCACAAAGTCTATCCACCTTTGTAATTAACACATAATGTGTTTCTTATACCATTAATTATAGTATCTCTATTATATTACACATTGTCACTGACACATTTCTGATACAGGGAAAAAATAGCATGATTGCTTTAGTAATTATAATTTTCGGTCCATGCACCACATTCCTGGAAGTCCAGAATATAGCAAGAATCCTTTGTCGTTTGATTCTATGGAGCCATTTAACATTTTGATTGGTATAGTTATACCAAAAGAGCAAGGAGTACGATGGTAGATCACATCTGCAACAGAACCATTACAGATTCCTTGTTGTATCAATGTCTCTGTCTTAATGTTTACAGGAGTTCCTTGCTTTGCAGATATATACATAATATGTAGAGTTTAAGAAAAGCTGCAAATTGTGCTTTAGTACAAGTGTCCCGTGATGTCAGGTTTCTGACAGGTTTTGCTGGTCTTTTATATTCCATTCTCTTGGCAGGGCATCTGCTCTTAGTAGGCCGGTCTTGTTATTATTTATTAATTGCATCAAGGTTTCTTTCATTAATTGATGTGTTTCTTCCGAATTCAAATTCATATGCCACCAAATGTCATTGTAAAGTTCATTGTTACAGAATATTGTTCCAGGATGGTTTTTCACTCCAGTAGGAAATCTATATTCCTCTTCTTCTGCTCCTTCCTAGTAACCACTTTTTCTGAGTTGTAGTTAACAATCTGTGTCTTGTACTGTGAGATGCTTTGATAGTCAATCAGGTTTTGTCAGTACCATTTTCCATCTTGAGAAACAGCTGGGTGTTGACAGTTATCAGCCTTTATTTCTTTTTCCGGTCATCTTCTGTCTGGATAATAGCAATGTCCAGAATTAGCATAGCACTTCTTTTCAGCATAAGAAGGCTGTTTGCGGTAGTCACTCAATGATAAACTATATGGCAAAGTATTTTCATAATCACCTTCATAGGTGCATCCAAAGACTTTCATAAGCATCTTTCCCGTCTTTTTCTGTTTTCAGCATGCTTTGCCATCATTGTTGAGTCCATTATTAGGATTTGTAATAGTCCAATCACATCTTTCTCATGTATAATTGTTTTTTAGAAACTTCTCAATAGGTTCCTTGTGAAATACCAGTGTAGGCAATCATTTCACTGTGAGCTGTGTCTCTCCTTTTGGGATGGTTCTTGGAGGTAGTCCTCACGATCATAGAACTTGTATAGTGTGCAGTCCAATTCAGTTCAGGTGCTTCCTGCTTGTTAACATAATCCCAATGCAGCTTTAAAACAACAGCTAGGGTTGATGTTATGATAATGCTGCAGACTGTAAGAAGGAGACACCATAACCAATTTTCTAGCATCCTTTTGCTTCCATCTTTGAATTTCTTTCTTACTGTATAAGATAATTCAGGTTCAGTCTGTTTTCTCCAGAGTCTTTCTTATAATGATGTTGATGATTCATTTTTCGTACATTCCATATTAACTGTGAATGTATCACGTCTGTCTGTTCATCCTTCTCCTTCACATTTGCAGGTTCAGATGTCAGATCATGATTCAGTCTGTTACGTGTCTATGATTCTGGTGGCTGTGTTTGGGGGCATTTCTGTCGTCCTCTGTTTGTTTTATCTTGTCATCTTTAACAGTATCCATTGTGTCAGTCAGTGGTTCTGTGAACGTCCTGTTAGTATTTAGCAGGTTGTAAAATATCAAAACTTACTGTTCTCTGTTGGGTCTGATTGTTCTCTGTAGTAAAAGTTCTCGGTATCACCCTCTCCAGGACAAACTGGCCAACAGAAGGAAATAGGTGGTGGTGCAAGGCGAGGTGGGCTGGAAAAAAAATCCCTAAATTTCTCTAATAGAACCAATGGTTCTAAGCTCTCCCTGGTGCAGAAATATAATTGTCAGTGAAAAAATATGTAACATTTCATATGGTGTCTTACCATTTGTATCATCAGGTATGTTGTGAATGCTTATCTGTACCATAGGAATAAATAGATACCACTGTGTGGGGCAAGCAACTAGTAACTTGGTTAATAATCATTTAACCTCAGCATTCTCCCAGACCACAACCCCACTTCTTTGGGGGTGGTTGGCGCACTGAAATCCCAAAGTAACCCAAATGTGGTTGCCCAGTTTTAGGTTTCCTTTGCAGTAACTGCAGGACCACCATCCAAATGGATGGTCCTGGGATTATCAAATGCATACTAAGGAAGTGAGACTAGAAAACGTGGCATCAGAGGTTGCACTTCGCACAGGATATATCCAAGTAAACCTGGTACATGCATCAACACATACAAAAACATATTTATAACCATGAGATGTTGGCAAACTTTCAATATATAGTAATTCAAAAAGTATGTTGGATATTAATATTTCAATAAACAGTACATCAGTAATGTGGCAATAAGCAAATGCTTATGATTACTAAACACATGAATTACAGTATTTCCCATATTGTGACCACCAATATTCCTTTTCAGGAGTCAGATGTACATTACCTCTCTCTATAAAAGCTTGTCCTAGCCATGAAAAAGCTTTTAGGGCAAGTCTATCTTTCCTCTATAGGAAGAACAACCAACATATTACCTTCAATGGTTATTATGTAATTAACCCCTGTAAACGATAGGAGTATTTATACGGATACCAGGTGGATAAGGTCTGGATATCCTTGCAAGCATAAACTCTGCATCATGACTGAGAGATAGGGTATGCGATGTGATCCAGTGACCACAGAAAAGCGTTGGTAGACACATTGCATCAAAGTGCCTGTTAATGACCAACTACATGAGGAGAGGGCCCATGCTTTGTTATAAGCATGTCCATACACGTATTACAATGCCAGGCTTTCAATTTGTTTCCACAAAGCAAATTGCAGTTGTGGATATAAACTCACGACGTATCGTAAGAAAAACTGTTTGAACACCAGACTGAGATTCGAGATCCATGAACAGTGAACCAAAATAGATAAATGAAATCCTATCAATTAATATACTTTCAATATACTTTATTTAAATTACTTTATTCTCCGTATTAACTATGAAATATTGAAGTTAAAACAATAACATTTAAAAGCCAACTTTTAGTGTGCATAGGAATTACAAGGCCGTTCATAATGTGAGATAAAGAACAGCTTTTTTAAAAAAAAAATCAGAATAGTCTGTGAACACAAAATGACCTTGCGCTGAAAACTCACTTGCAGGGGAAAAACAAAACAACTTTTTCTCTTTTTCTTTAGTAAGTTAATTAATTAATTAAACGTAGTTAGAACCTTCCTCAAAGTCTCGATTAAGAAACATGTCGTCCTTAAATACTGGGTAAGTCTATTAAACAGTGACATAGCATTGTTACCATGT